TAAAGAAAAGTCTGGCAACAGACATAATTACCTCGCGGAAGCCAGCTAACAGCTCGGAGAGAACGCTCCCTGGCCAGATAGACATCGATCTTTGAAATAGGAAAGACGGGTTGTCCTAAAGCTATTTCAGATCGTGCCGAATTGACACAGCGTTCCACAACTTAATAACATAAAATATCACTTTGTAAATAACGTTTATAAGAGTGCCGATAACAGATTAAAGGGCACAATGTGAAAATATCAACTTTCAACTGACATTAGTGTACTTTGACAAGCGTGGAGGGAGGTCTGGAGGGAATGGGTTTTATTCCTGGAAGTGTCACGTAACTCATTTAGTTATTTTCGTAGAAGTATTTATTGTTTTGAAAAATCGACTTTTGGCCACCCAAATCGTTTAAATACCCCTATGTACAGCGGCACACATACATTTAGATAAAATAGAAACCCAAAAAACAGAAGACTAAAAATATATCTATCTTAAGCCAACTCCAATAAATATAAGGTCTCCCAATAAGAATGTCCTGATGTTTTTTTTTAACGAAACGGTAAAAATTGCTGTAAATCAAAAAAAGAAAAGTTTATTGCAAAATATAATAGATAACAATTATGTTCTGAATAACACATCATTCAAATGTCCCCCTCTACTACGTTTGCAGGAGCGAATCCGATGAACCCAATTTTCGGTCACTTTATGCAAAATATCCGCATTAATCTCACGAATGGTGTACTCTATATTCCTCTTCAAGTCTTCAATGGATTGTAGTTTATTCACATAGACCAATGACTTAAGATAGCCCCATAAAAAATAATCCAATGGTGTTAAATCGCAGCTTTTTGGAGGCCAAGCATCTGGTCGAAGTTGCTGAATTCTCCTGGGATCTCTGGCATCAAGAGAAATCAATGTTTCCGGGAACTTTTCCTTCAATAAATCAATGGTTGGGGCAGTAGTGTGACATGTGGCACCGTCCTGTTGAAAAAACATGCCATCCAAATCCATTTCATCCAACTGAGGCCACAAAAAATCCGTTATCATCGTTCGATACCTTTCACCGTTAACTGTTACACCATGTTCGAAAAAATAAGGTCCGATGATGCCACCATGCCATAAACCACACCACACAGTGACTTTTTCTGGATGCAAAGGTTTCTCAAGAATCTCATGTGGATTATTTTCACTCCAAAAACGACAATTTTGCTTATTCACAAAGCCGTTTAACCAAAAATGAGCTTCATCGGAAAAGATTATTTTTTTGAAAAAATCGCCATCATTTTCGAGTTTGTCTAGAGCCCAATCAGCGAACAAACGACGCTTATGATGGTCAAGTGGCTTCAGTTCTTGAGTCAGAACAATCTTGTAAGGGTGTAGGCCTAAATCTTTTCTCAGAATTCGCCAAGTTGTCATTCTGGCGAGTCCAAGTTCCTGAGAACGACGATTTACGGACACATTTGCATTCTCCGCTACACTGGCTATTACAGCAGCAATATTGTCCTGAGTTCTTGCATTTCGGCGTCTAGTTGGTGGTTTCGTATCCTGCAAAGTAAATTCACGTTCAAACTTTTCCACGATTCGACGAATTACACGCACATCAGGACGATCATTTGGTCCATAACTTTCACGTAATGCACGATAGGTATTCACAAAAGAACGATTATCAGCATAAAATTTTAGGATAATTTCCAAACGTTGTTCAAGCGTATATCTTGCCATGGTAATTTGTTAGAGTATACTAAATACAAACGTCAAAAAGTGACAGTTCCATCATTTTCAAAATGGCCGCTAAGACATTTCAAAACAGGACGTCCCTATTGGGAAACCCTGTATTATGGAAGCAGAAGCTGTAGAACCACCGTTACATGAGAAGGAAACTAATTAGTAATAGGTTTATCACAAAAGCAATTGCCAAATACACAAGATATAAGAACATGTATACATGAACTTTCAGTTTCAGTACTCCCACAGTGTTATTGGCTAAAAAAGAAAACTCCTCTAATTTGTGAATACAGGTCGGCACAGTTGGTTCGTAAAAAACTGATACGACTCTTATTATTACATGTGTTATTTCTTAAATTGTAATAATTACTAAGGTCTAAATTTTGATATTATTTTGAATTATTGCATTTTATAAAGAGTACATAAATGATAGTTTTTACGTAAAATATAGTTGTTATTATTTTTATTATTATTAAGGAATAAAACAAACGATTTAAGTCAACAATATATTAAAGCAAGAATTGTAACCAAATTAAAAGATAACTGGGCACTATCAGAGGCAGCAAAACATTTTAACACAAGCAGAACCAAAGTTTTTCTATTAATAAAAAATGGAGAGAACAAGAAACTCTCGAAAGAAAGCGAGGGTCTGGAAGACCAAAACTATACTAAATTTAGGTATGTAAAAATAAAATTAATATTTTGTAATATCTCCATCAGCATTGATAACAGCTTGTAGTCTTCGGTCCATCTGCGTGAAAGGAACTATGAAATTGTGTTCTTCACAGAGCTCTTCCCAAACCTGTTGTATACCGTGCCACAGCTCTTCAGCATTTTGAGGTATAAAATTACGCCAATACGACCATTTTATAATAACCCCCTACACATTTTCGATTGGTTTAAATATGGACTATAGCTGGTAAGGTTTCGATGTTGTTATTCTGAAGCTACTGGTTTATTATATTTGAAGTGTGAGCAGGACAATTATCTTGTTGGAGGATAAAATTATTTTCTGGATACAACTGTTCTACACGGAGAAACATTATGTTTTTTAGAATATTCAGAGAAGTCTGCCCGACAAACTTGCCATCAATACGCCATACCATCCTCTAGATGAAATCCATCCCTATACATTGGAGCTAAAATGACCAGCTGCTCGATATCTATAAACATATAGAGGATTAAATCTATTATTATCTGGTCTGTACACCCCAATTTTGCCCTTTTTAGAAGATTGAAAAATTTTCTCATCTGTAAATATTACCCTGTCCCAAAAATCTTGATTTTGTAGCTGATGGTTTAAAGCAAATATAAGTCTTGATTGCTTCTGTTGTGGTGTAAGAGCTTGTTTTTTTTCTGCAGTTCGGTACCTAAGACGCGATGCTTTAATTCCGCGCCAAGTTGTTGTCTTTCTTCCCGGAAACTAAGCCATAATTTTTGCAGTTTTCGCAGTTTTTCTCTTCTAATCTCTCCAAAAGCGTACAATCTTCATGAGCGGTAGATATTTTTGGTCTTCTAGAACCTTGTTTTCTTTCGAGAGTTTCTTGTTCTACATATTTTATTATTATTAAAAACTGTTGTTCTGCTTACGTTAAAATGGTTCGCTACGGCAAATAAAGACCCACCATTTTCTAATTTCGTTATAATTCTTGCTTTTAGCTCTTTGCTAGCATGTGGAGCCTATTTTTGAGGTTGAACAGAATAAGTTATTATCTGACAAATTTTAAGATTTGGCAGTGACAATGACAGTATGTAAATAATAAGGATGTATCCTTCAAAATACACTGCTCAATTTTCTACAAAATACGCTTAAAGCGTCGCAACAGTTTTTTTAGGAACCAGCTGTACAACATTAAAATCCAACCAATATTTTCAGAAAATCCAGATATCCTGTTTTCTAAAAAAAATTAAGACATTTCAGATAGATAAAAACGACCACTTCGTCGAAACAGTTGATCAACGATGGACCGACTACTACCAAATTTAAAACAAATTCGTACAGATACCATTTTTTCCGATCACACCACAAAATATCATGAAGAGTTTAGATTACCAAATGAGGCAACGATATATACAGCAGAAATGTTTGCAATAAGTGAAGCTCTGAAATATATAGGTACTTATGAATCATAAATCCAAAAGTATTATATTAACACACTGCAAAAGAGTCGTAGAGAGACTAAATATATAAGCGCGTTCAAGAACTTAAATCATCTATAAGTAAAAATACTACAGACCAATTTTGAAATACGCCTCAGACTTAGACAGAAATTCTATTAACCAGTATTTTTCAAATACAGATTTGAATGCCACCTTAAAATTCAGCAAAAAACTAAACGATGAACTGTATGACACCAATTAAACATGATTAAATTATAGCTCATGTCAAGTCCAAATTCCAATACTAAGATGGTTCTACAACGAAAACAGCAGGAACTTTATTATTACTATAAATGGAATAACAACAAATCATGGAATATCACCAAGCTATAAATATAAAATTGCTTTAATTGATGATTCCTCATGTTTATGCGATGAACTGGGGGACTTAACAGTAATTATACTTGGTTGTTCATTAAATCGTGAAAGCACAGATAAATTTTATAATAAAATAATTAATAACAAAATTTGCTTACTCATAAATTTAAACTGTATAATTTTCAATAAGAATATTAATTTGCTATCAAATCACACCAAGAGGTGCAAAATGAAATTGTAAATTACTAACCATTGTTAACAATTCTGCAACTGATTCCATTTTGTAAGTGGGCGCCCACAAAAAAAAACAAAAAAATAATTAAATGTCTTATTCTAAAAAAAAAATGATGTTTTAATTCTATTTAGTTCAGTATCTAATAAGTAATTAGTTCATGGTTTAATAAATAATTTATTTTGAAATTCAATTTATGTCAGAAAGACACTCGTCTGCGTTTCTTATATTTCACGTTTATGTTGATAACTAGTTCTTTATTGTTCAATACTTGCGCACTGTAAATGATAGAATTATGTAATATTTAATATGTCAACTGTTCAGTTTAGCAACAAAGTAAAGGGGACCCAATTTGAAAATTTAAATTATTGAAATAAAATATTAGTTTTCCTAAGATATTGCTTAGTTTATTGATGTTAGTTTTTTTTTTTGTTTTCAAAATCTAAAATTTAATATTGATTATTATTAATTCAACAATTGTTCTGCTGTGAATATATCTAAAAAAATTAATTTTTAAATTAAACTTAAAATATATTTACGTAATTATTATTATTTGCTTGTTACTTAAAAGTTACTTACTTGATCCATTCTAATAATACCTTCTGCCAGCGTCTTAAACCCCAACATTGTTCTATTTTTATACCTCTTACGTCTTTGTAACAAGATATGTAATTTATTACCCTCTCTTTTTAAAAAATGCGGATATTGAAGACAAAATGTCACATCTAGTTGTGCATCTAGAACTCCACTTTGAGTTAATACTAATTCATTGGATCGAAGTATTCTTTTCGTTGACTGCATCTTTACAGCAATTGAAACAGCAGCCAAATCAGATCCAAGTGGTCTTAAAATGATTATTCTTGTTAAAGTGAGGGAACAAAGCCTAAAAAATTAAGCAATAATTATATTATTTTATCCTCAAATGTTTGCATGCCTAAATGAACCATCCATGAACTGACCCTCGATTATTTACATATGAATTTTAAATGATCTTTGATATTGAAATGATTTTTAAAAATTATTAACAGTATTATTTACTACCGTTATTATTTGTATTTATTTTTAGTTGATTTGACAGGCTTTACAGAATAATCAATTTGTATTTTGTTTGTTCGGTAATTTTGAGTAAATGTGTGTATTGTTAGAGTGACTTTTGTTTGAGCTGTGTAGTTGTGTTTTGCCTTTTGTTCCCACTTGCCACTCTTTGACGGTGTTTTTTATGCCACGGGTTAGTTGGAGATTGTGAATGAGTAGTTATTGGTAAGTCGTTGAGAACATTCGACCAAATTTAGTCTCAGTAGCAGACTGTGTTTTTTGTGTTTCCTTTCTTGTATCTGAATGACCACAAGTGTAATACTCGTGATCAGAGTTGCTGTTTTAGTTTCGTCTAGTAACAGTCTCATTTAGTTTTCGGAACAAAAACTGGTTTACTTTGTGTTATTTCGTGCAGCTCACTCAAAAAGTCAAGTTTTCAATATTATTAGTATTTTTCTCTCCCCCTGTATGTGTAGTTCATTAAGTCTGTTGTTTTAAACCATTATTTTTTAGTTACATTGTGTGTTTGCTTTCACCAAATTTTCGTTAAATTAAGTCTACCCCAAGTTAACTGCTACTAATTTCCAATTTTTTCCGAAGATTTATCTTCATTTTATTACAGGTGTAGTCTTTTTAAAATTTCCTAGAAATATTTTCGTCTATTTTTTGTGAATCAAATAATTATTTGATTTATGATATTTGAAAATATTTATTTGGTATTTTGAATGTGAACGATATTGGTCTGTTTATGTAATTCGTCTAAAATAAACATCCCATATGCGAGAAATGAATATTTGTTCACGTTTATAAAATCATTTATTTCGTATGCAAGCCTTGACCTTCCCTTGTGTTTATTTAATTTCGGCTAAGAAAGTTTGATGACCCAATTCGGTACGAAAATACAGGTCAAATATTTTCGTGAGAGAAATGAAGATTTTATTTTTTAAAGTTTCATAGCACGGGTAATGTGAGGAAAATTTTAGTACAGGTAATGTATTAAAAAATTTTAATTCCCGAAAAAGAAAATATTTTCTGTATTTTGTTGTCCATGTTTTTACCTGGTTCTTTTTTATGTTATAACCAGGAGGAAATAATGATACGACTTCGTTTATTCCTGGCTAAGACCGGTTTGTTGAGAATATATAGCGGAAATATTCTGTGTCTTTGTGTGGTCAGATGTTGTAGTAAAAGGTATGTTAACGGTACTGAAATGTATTAGTTTGCGGTTTGATTATTGTGTTTTTGAGATATCATGTAGGACGTACAGGCACGTGACCTGGATTTTTGTATCCTAGGATATTTCTGTTGTTGTAAGACTGCATTTCGAGCAGCATTCCGTTTTGTGAGTTCGACATTGTTGTGGTTTATGTGATGTGAAGTTCATGATTTGATAGAAGCGGAGGTAAAAACACTTGCATTGTCCATTGTGACGCTTTGATATGCTGAGGTGAAAGTACCTGGCCGCCTCCTATTGTGAAAATGTTGTGTATGTCGACTGTGAGACCACGTTCGTTTAACAGCTGAAATAATTCTAGTACTACCGTCAAATGACTCAGTAAGAAACGAAAGTCCTGTATTGTTGTGACTCTGTTAGAGTTTTGCTAAAGAATTCAAAGTCTTATGTAGTGATTCTGTTGATGTTTTGTTGAGGAATGGTGAACATTTCTTTGTGATGAATATTTTGGTCAATGAATGAATATTTTGATCAATTATCATCCGTGAAATGATGAGGTCTATTTCTTGATGATGCCCTTTTATTTTCTTCCCAAACTGTGTTTTTGACCTTATTAGTAGTCACGAGAGGAACGGCTAGGGCGATGAGTTTTGGCTTCGTCCGCCAGGTGACCTGTTAGCTTTTAAGGAAAATAAGCATTAGTTTTCGCCTTGTGTATATATACTCTTCTTCTTTACTTTTCTCGTTTGCGATTTGTGTAGCAAGTTGGAAGTTTGTTCCTTTGAAAGATTATAGTGACTCTTCTGTTCCTTTGTAGGACTGTCGTAACTTTGTGTTTCTTTGGAAGACTGTTACGATGTTTTTGTTTCTTTTGGAAATATTAAATTGAGACTGAACTGTTTGTGTATCGATTATGGCTTTTATGCTATATGCCCCTTTTCTTTCTTCATTTTCAAGATTGTGTATTAACATTTTGGATTTATGTTCGTCTTTTGTCCTCTTTGGAGTTTCCTGACTTCGAAATTTTTCGCTTTGATCGATCCCGGAGGATATTCCTATGGAACTATTGGCCAGGCTGTTTTTCTTCTGTTTGTGTAGTTCAAATTTCAACCAGTAGTTGGAAATTCAGTGGTTGACTGTCGCAGTCAACTTTATTGTTGTTTGATGCTATTTTGGTTATCTACCTAGTGAATAACCATAGCGAACTTGTTTAAGCTGTTTTGTTGACCATTCGCCTTTGTTGAGCTGGAAGCACCCCTCTTTTCGCTCTCAGAAACTTCAACACTGGTCTGTTCCTAATTTTTTGGTTATGCTAGAGCCATGCAAAAATGTACTAGAATTAGAAAAGTTTTGTGTTTCTTGACAAATACTGCGAGAATTAATAAAATTTTCTGTTAATAATCATTTGTTAACGTAGGCCACCAACGGTAAGATCTAACTAACATTTATGTTCGTACTACTTCTAAATGCTGTTAATGAAATAGGAATAAGATATTATTACCCAGAGAACTAGGGATCACTACTTTTTTTCCTGCTAGTAAGCAATGATTTTCAACTGATAATTCATGTTTTCTTTTAAAAAAAGGTTTCAATATAATATCTGATACCGATTCACGTCACACAAATAACGTAAAATCTATTACTTTCAATATTAGCAAATCTTTCTTAGTAGCATTCATAATATTTTCAAAATTTAACGGAATACTACTGTTTCTGATGTCATCGGAAGCCTCGATAGACCATCAGAATTTGCAATCATCTTTCCCTTTTTATACTGTATTTCATAAACATAAGCAGGTAGAATAATACCCTATCGAGTGATTCTCGCTAGATGCTGCAGCTACTGGAATACTTTTATTCCTTCCGAAAATAAATTGTAAAGGTTGATCGTCAGTCAACAATACAAACTTTCGAGCATATATATATATATATATATATATATATATATATATATATATATATATATAAATATATATATATATATATATATATAATATATATATATACATATATATACATATATATATATATATATATATATATATATATATATATATATATATATATATATATATATAGATTGAACGAAATAAATTCGGAACATACGAAATATTATGTATTTCGGCTCAATTCTGCTGTAGGTGGTTGGCCAACAAAAGGTTGTCAAATAATTATATTATAAAAATCCAATACTTCAGCGGGCTGCTGGATTCTGAACTAATTCAAGAACTCATTCATAGGTGGTCAAACCACCTATCGCTTCCTAAAGCCGGCCACTCACGGTACAGCGGTGTCGTTCGACATAATCGGACAGAGGCGTTGTTCAATTTGTTGGTATATCTGGTGCGCCCACACACCATACTGCGCCGCAGTATTTGTTCGGTTCTCGACCATGTCAAATCAAACAATCATTTTAGCATCTCTTACTTTGTGTATAACTAAGCGTAAAAAGAAACCTAAAATAAAACGTAGATTCTGGTGCAAAGAATCCAAGATTTTGGTGCAAAATAAATCTCGTCTGCCCCTGCACCCGATTTACTGGACTGCACTGCTAATTTTAATTCTCTTTTATAGGATGTTCTAAAATTGTTAATTTTTTTTCTTACATACTCTTCATTCGCATCTTTGTTTACTTCTTGGAACTTTAAAACTAGAATGTCCATTGCCTGTTTTCGGGCGTTTCTATCGTGATACGTTTTACCTTTTATTCGCTATAAGCATTCTTGTTTTTTATATAATTTAAAAAACTCTCTAAAAAATTCTCGCTAAATCAAGCCATTTCGATTTTCTATAATATGATCAAAGCAAGTGTGTAGTTAAAAACGCAGTTGAACAACGCCGCTGTATCGTGAGTGGCCGCCTTTAGGCAAGCCCCTCTTTCGTTTATCGGAGATGGAGATTTTGAGCGGTGTTGCCAATATCATTCCACTAGATGTTTCTAAAATAACTACAAACTTCTGAAATAACTACAAACCATTAAGTTTATTTTTGTTATTAGTCTGTTGTAGTAGATTGGTAAATACAATGAAAAATATAGGCAAATATCCGATTTATTTAAAGATACGAAGAAGATATAACTCTCAAAAAGATCCGCAAATCGGATTATTACACGGCGATTGGCAACTTTGACTTTGAGCTGCGCTCTAGACTATGGTGGGTTTTAAAAGGGACGGATAGTTGAACGATATTTTATACAATGTCTAACACCGGGTATGGATTTATTTTTGTCCAAGTTTTATATTGGTCCACTATTTCAAATGCAGTTCAAACAGACATATATATATATATATATATATATATATATATATATATATATATATATATATATAAACGAAGAATGATCACAGCTGTCCAATTATTAATTAGTATAATGGTAAGGTTAATTGGGTTAGCAGCTGAATAATGAAAGCCAAAGTGTGCTCTTTTCAACGACTTCGCTATATTTCGTTAAATTTCTTTAACATCTTCAGACGAATGCTACAATATGTTACAAAATGGTGAAATTGTGTATTTTACATAAGATGTAGTGAAACACTTACTTGTGTGAGGTTGCAGGCAAAAGTGGTATTTGAAAGTTCCATGTTGAAAAACTTTTTTGAAGATTTTTTATAGCAAAAAAAGGAATAAATTGTATGTGTTATATGGTGGCTTGAAAACTCAAACAATACAAGTGC